TTAAAACTGCATGTGTTTAAGAAGGTGATCTTTTTTGGCATACTTCCATTGCATTAACAGTGACATTTCCTTTTATACATGACCACTGTTTCAGACCTGTGCAGCTGCTATAACAGATAACTTTTGTTCTTAATTGAATACTTCAAAACTGTTTCTGCATAACTATTTTATGGATTTTTTCAGACTAGTTATAAAATTCATTTTAAGTGTGATGTGCTTAAGCCTTCAGTTTAAAGTAGTCCAGTTCAAAATTCAGTGTAGAAAAGTCAATGTGGTATGCATAGTAGTTACAAAAATTGCATCTGTCCTTAAAAAGCTGTTTTGTTTGAGTGGTGGGGAGTGGTTGAAAACTTCCTGCAGAGCAGATAACTTCTGGTTTTTTTGTAAATACTCAAGTATTTGAAACGATTGATTATTTTTTATATATATATACTTGAAACTTCTTGTTGCTCTAATGCTCATACTAAAAATCTGATTCTCTTGAAATCCTATGTTTGCTCTTTGCATATTTATTGGCTCTTTGCATATATTAGACTACATGCAATACAGTCTGTCTTGCCATTGTCTGTTGAAGTGCAGGTTTGATCCAGCCAGTATAGAACTAGCTCTATAGGGGTGAGGAGGACTGGGCTGTGTATCATCCTTGATTGTTCCTTCAAGGAGCATTGCACTGTAAGTACATCAGAATGACAAATTGATGAACTGCAACAGTATCTTTTTGTCAATGTTCCACATAATGAAAATGCCATACTTGTGTGACTATTATGTTGGAATACAGTGCTGATATCTTAGGAAATCATAATTGCTTCTTAATTCAGAAACATAGGTTTGTGTATATATATATACATACACATAATATGAGCTTTGTGGGTAAGTATTCCAGAAACGTTTAGCAATAGCTAAAGAAAATCATGTTTCTGTTTATCTGAGTAATAGTTTTTCTTCATCAGTACTCCTGAGACAGCTGTATCGTTCAGTGTTTTAAAAGTATGCATATCGTAACATTGAAGTCTTTGGAACCACTTGTTAGACAGAAGTTGTCTTTGTCTTCAGAGAGTTTGCAGATATGTAGTGATGTAGGTATGTTTTTAAGTAATTCTTTAACTGTTACTTGCTTTATCTTTTGGAACACCATATTGTTGCTTTGAGAGTAAATTTTTTTAGGGTGGCTGCACAGAAAAGTTAAGGCTTGAAAACTGAAATAGTTTATTCAGGTAATTAGCAATGTATGTATTGTGCTGTAGAAATAGAAGGAATTATTTTTATCCCTTTTAAAATGAGGAGTTATTCTGGTAGCTTAAAAAAGGCTAGGAAAGTATTTGCTTTTTTCAGTGTAGGGTATGAAGTTTAATAGTTCAGATATTTTGCATGGTATTTTGTAGATAACCTTATAGAATGGTGCATTTATTATGTACTAAACTGAGCAAATTTAAATTCACTGGATTCTTTATCATTCACAAAATGGAGGCTGTTGATTTTGATTCATTTAAGGTATAAAATCTTTATTAATTGCAAACAGTGCAATTATTTATACTTCACAGTGCCTTCCCAGACCTTCCACCTTAGGTTCTGCTGCAAAAAAGCAACAGGTAAGCACAACCTAAGGAAGTATATAAATTAATATATTTCAGTACATTAATGTTGTCCCTGTGAGATCTTTGTGGTTGTGTATTGAAAAGCAATCTGCTGCTTCCCCAAATGCATTGTTACTCACGGTTCCATTTCAGTGGAAAGTCTTTTAAGTTTTTAAACAACTGTTTATATTTCTAGGTAAATATGTATCTCTTTTTTTTTTCTTTTTTTAGAAAAGATGAGTAGATTGCAGTAATTAAACTTGATCAGAATAAGTAATTTTTGTTATTTTTCCTCAAATAGTTAATTGTTGCAATTAAAGAATCAAAACCTTTACAAATATACAGGAATTACTGTGGTTAGAAATGTCAACAGCCTTCACAAATGCTTTTTTTTATAATAGGGCACTATTCCCAGGTGAACCCGTAAGAGCTAAATATAAAGAGTATGACTTCTGTTGTTATCACTGAACTTGATGATAACTTGTCTTAAAGTTATAGTGTGTTAGTGGTATTTTTAGATAACTTAGTTTGCTTATTCATACTTGACATGGTAGGAAAGCAGATACTGGAGTTTCAGAGATTAGTATGTTTTAACTGAAAAAGCATGTGCACCAATTAAATGTTAACAGTATAGCAAATAATATTTTATCTATATAGCAGTCAGTGTATCCTGTTTCTTGATACTTTAACTGAATTGCTGTATATTTTGATAGTTTAAAATGTTTGTATGTTTTATAGATGGTCTGGTACAGGTTTTTTGTTTCTGGTTTTTGTTGTTTGTTGTTTTTTTTTTTTTTAGCTTAAAGTAAAGCAGCATCTGTTTGGTTTTTTTGTTGATTATTCTGTTTCTGAAACATGCTGCTCCTTTCAAAAGTCCTGCTTATCTGTACATCAAAGAAAAATATTCAAAAATGCTGCCTTCATTTTCACACACAGTGCTGAAGATGCTGCAAGCACCAAATCATAGCTCATAGAATCAGGTCCTGAGATAGTTACTACCAGTAAAGAGGAATCCTTTGAGTGTATGCCATTGGTGAGCCGATGAGCATGGACCATAGAAGGGCTCCATGTAGAAGGTAAAATTGGCAAAAACGTAACAGATTTGAAATGTATCCCATACTTAATGGTGCAGGGTATAATTTTTGTTTTGATCACTTCTCATTCTTTAAAGTATTATTTGTTTGACCATAAATGTTCCATAATCTGTTAAGTTTTTTAAACTGTGATTTAATAATATAAACCATCTATTTTAATTTATATTCTTCTAAACAGCCAAGCTTAGATATATTGATTTTTTTTTGAGCTAAATTAATAGTTGTGCTTCAGTTTTTCAAGCCACTTACTATTTCATCTTAGTTTAATATGTAGTTTAATATGTAACTTCATTTTTCATGTGAGAAAAGGTTAGGTGTGTACCATTTGGATTTTTGATACTGTGAATTTAGTGTTGGGGTGAGTCATTTGTTCACTTCCTTTTACATTATAACTGTTGTTGCTAAAATACCTTAAAAGTCTTTCAATTGTAAATTCAGCCGGTGGGAGGAGATAGAGATGAAACGAGCCAGTTTATTGGAATGTTGTAGTGTGTGGGAGATGAGATGTTCTTGTGTGTAGCATTTGAGGTGTACTGACTTCCAGCTTTCTCACTGGTGGGCCTTCAGACATGCTATTTTGTGCTAAGCATAGCGTTTATTTTTCAACTCTGTCTCCAAACTTACAGTTCTTAGGAGAACAAAAAATAGATTATTGGGGTTCTCCTCATCCAGAAGCATAACTGGACTTCCTTAGAAATGTAAGGGAAGTGTCCACAAGGTGTCTTTAAATGTTTCCTGCTTCCCCCACCTTCCCCCCATTAGAGTCCCACAAGTTAAGTAGAAGGTGAAGAGTACAAGTTTAAAAAGGAAGCATAATGTTCCAAGTAGGAAAAGCATTTTCATATTACTTTCTGCAGCCTGTACTTTAATAGGACATGCAGTAGAATGTCAGGTGGATAATCTTCAGTCTAGCATGATCGTAAGTCATCTGTGTAAGTTGTCCAGGCAGACAGGTTCATTATTCACTTGCACAGCCTATCTTGAAATATTTCCTCTTTTTGCTAGTGGTATTTTATTGGATGATAGAAATTGTTTCTCCCCTGTTTCTCTTCCAAAGTAATTTTTTAAGTTTTCATTGCATGCTAAAAGCTTTTTATTTTGCTTTCTTCTGGAAGTGGGGGGAGGAAGGGAGGCCTGGGCTTTTCAGAAAGCATACAGTTGACAGGATTCCCTCTTCCCTAGCAATAGCTTATAAAACTCGTATGTATGCACAAGTATTTCTCTTGCGTGCATGTGAAATGCCTTTTCGTCCTGAGAAAAGTGTTCTCTGCAGAAACTACCCGTGTGTAAAAAGAAGATTGGCTTTAAAAGGCAACTGTGATGGGAACAGTGTCTTAGGGAGATGCAGCTTGGACTTGAGGTAAATTGAATGCTTTACAAAAATGTGGTTTTGAGCTTGCATTGACATTGTATGTAATATGGGTACACGTTAACTGTATAATGTTTTTTTGTATGGTTTTTCTCAATAAATGTAAACTGATGGATAATAATAGCAATGTATTTGTCTTTTTTATGCTCCTATCTCTGCCTTCGTTAGTTTGAAATAACAGCTTCAGAGGAAAGACATTGCAGCAACTAGTACTTCTGTGAATGAACATCACCCACATGAAATGAAGTAAAATGTATTTATGTGGCTGTTAGGATAATTATCAGTCAAAGCATCATGCAGCTTATTACCATTTTTTCAAGATGTTTCTGCATTTGTAACTATTTTATTAAGGCAAAAGAGTGACTCGCAATAGGTAACTGTACAAAAAGCAGTCAGCAGATTCAACCACAGGAAAATTTCATTTTGAAAAAAATCTCATTTGCTGCAGCTTACCTTGTCTTTGCGTAAGGCTTACACACACGTTCTTTAGTTTAAAATGTGACTATTGTTTGTAAAATTACTCCTAGAGAAGCTTAAACTGAGCAATCAGATGGTGTTAGCACAGTGACATTAGTGTGGATATCAAGAGGTCTTAGAGAAAAAGAGTAGAGTAGCCTTAAGAAGACAATGTTAGAGATGCAGCAATAACTGTATTGCATTGAGAGAGCCAAGCTTGAGAAGCTGGGTACTTCCTGAAAATAATTTTCTTAACGCTTGCTTCCTACCAGTGTTAGCCATGATGGGCTCATGTTTGTCACCAACTGTTCCTGTATCGTTTGAGCAATGAAAAAATAAGAAATTTTACAAGCAAATGTTGGTACTATAAAGACTACTCCAAGCCTTACGGAGATTGTTGTGCTTTTGGATTATCAACTGCAGAGGTTGGTAAGAGCATAACAGTTTAAATGCAAGCCCATGTTGAAACAAAAGAACTAATGCTCTTTGAAACAAAAACAACAAAAGTGAGCAGTTATGTCATCTTTTATTCTTTAAAAATAGTACACTGGGGTTTTTGAAAATCATCAATAAGTATTTCCTTTAACCTCTGGGTTAAAAAGTAAAACAGCTTAAATACTCAGTGTTCATGCAAAATATACCAATAGATTTACACTACTGCACAAGCTTCCAGATTGTGTATTTAGCTTTAGACTATTACACAACAGTTGGTCTTCACATGTGGGCGCACTGTTATAACTCAGCTTTTTCCTTTAGTTGATCTTTCATACATGGATTCCTTCTTTTTAGCCTTCAACACTGATATTTGTATTGAGCAAGGAACCTGGACACTCACAATCTGAAGGTTGTTACTATCTGATGCAGGAGTGACAAATCAATGCATGTCCTTGCTCTCTTTAGTTGGCCCCATCAGAGAAAGAGATGATGCAGTAAGAAAGTTTTGAGGGGAAGAAAGATTCCAGCTAAAGTAGAGTATTAGTAGTCATCAGCTAGAAAATAAAAGAGTTAAGAGAGACAGATAATTAGATTTTTATAACAGGAAAGATGCAAGAAGAATATCTGAGAATTGAGCCAATTAAAGCGCTAACTCTTACTTTCAATGGTGAGAATGCAGGTGCTAGCAGATGTGCCTCTGTTGTTGACTGCTTTACACATATATTCCCCTTCATCTTCTGGGAAGGTTTCTGGCAAGTAAAGGCAATAGGTTTCTCCTCTTTCAATATACTGATAGTCCTCAGAGTCCTGCAACATTTCCCCCTCAAACCACCATGTCACTTCAGGTTTTGGTTCTCCAGTAATTTTAACTGTAAATCTCACTGGCTCGCCATCAACAACCGAGGTGTTTTTCAGTGACTTCTTGAACCAGGGAGCTCCAGATCGAGCTTGATCCTCCTCATCTTCACAAGTAGAACCATTAATAATGCTTCCCTCTTCTTCTTCTTCCTCTTCTCTTTTCTGTTTTAAAATAAGTCAATTTAGAACATGTAAAGTGGCAATAGCAGTATGAGAACTAGTGGTATGTGTTTGATTACGAGAAGTCACCATGTTTCTGAGAAGGGGAAATGCCACCCCTCTCCTCACTAAAAAGTATAATGCACTGAACCTGCATATGGAACGGGCAGTAAAATGGATTTTAATGAGGCTGGAATCTTGGGGCATGAATGTAGATTCCATTTTCAGACTATTCAAAGGATACAATGAACTTTCTTTGCAACATCTCTCTCCCACTCTTCAAGAACACGTGAAAATACCAGAAGTAATTATACATTATTGCAGCAATTCACAGCAGCTGTTAAAACAAGTTTAATGTTCCTATTATACCTCTGGCAGTGTTGCCATCAGTGGTGATGCCTAGTTAAATGACACTTAGGACTGAAGAAAAGGTACTTTGCAATTCATACCTTCTGTAATGCTGCATCAATTTCTTTCTGTTCAAACTGCATGCGTAGTAATTTCTGTTCTTCAATTCTCCTCTGCTCCTCTTCTTCCCTGGCTCTTGCCATTTGCTCGAAGCGGGCCTTCATGTTTACTTTATGAGTAAATGGAGCCTCAGATTTCTTGGCTGGTCTCACATCTACATCATCATCCTTGGGGGAGAGGGGGAAAGGGTTTAACTCATTTACTACTTTTTAAATAAATGATAATAAAACTAGTTTTGTAGAGCAGCAGTTTCTCACTGAGCAAAGCCACTCAGAGTCCTCGTTTTGTCAGAGGTTTGTTTAATGTTGTGTTTAAGATCAAGTCTAATAACAGCTTATCCCAGAGACAGGACAAAATATTGCAAAAAAATCAAAAGTGTTAGGCAGAAAAATACTCCTTATTTCATGTAGAAGTTGAGTACTGTCATGTGGCAATGGTAAATCCTTAGTGGCTTGACTTTGGTGCCACAAGGTTACAGTGACTTCAGCACCTGACACAGGTTGACCTTATGGAAACACAATTACAGTGTTGGTCATCAAATTTAAAAGCTTAAAACTAAAAGACGGGCTCAGAGCTGATGCTGATGTGACTGACTGCTGCGGAGAGGAACCTCAGGGTGAGGCTCAGACCAGGCTTCCTACTGTTGAGTTTCCTGCACTGACACAAGATGAGGTGATGAAAGTTCACGTTGGACTAGATGATCTCCAGAGGTCCCTTCCAACCCCATATCGTTCCGTGATTCTGTGGTGTTTTGGGTCACAGAGCGCAGTGTTGAGTTATTGGTTAGACTGATAGCTTCATTTCTTGTAGAAACAAGAAATGTGTGAAAAAATGTGACAGGTTGTAGTTTGAAGCAGAGATAAGTAGGCATCCTTTTCTGCTCTACCCTAAGAAATAAGTACAGATGATGAGACTTGTTTTTCATGTGGTATTGGTGAGGGGTTTTTTAATTCATACAGTGGAGAAAGAGTTCAGAAGGAGAAGCAGTTCATGTGATGATCAAAAGATTAATTCTCAAATCTGAATCTTTCAAACCCTCAGGCTGACAGGTTTCAGCTTGTTAAGATGCTGAATTGAGGGCTTTGAGCAGAAAAACAGATCTCTGCTTGACCAGATGACTGATAATAAACTGGTGCTGTTCCCTTTAGGGATGCTGAGGTGAGGCTTCTTCATGCATCCAAAGGAGGGAGCAAGAAAGAAGGGAGAAAATAAATCATTTTGGAAATAGAGCAAACTTTGGTGAAAGCAGCATTGTTGTCCCCTGCTGGATCATTAGTGTGCTAGTTAAGTCTATCATTAATGTGTACAGAATACAACTTACCTCTTGAAATTTTTCAGCTTCCCTTTCTCTTATTTCTTCATCCATTGCTCTTCGCTTTGCTCGCTCTTCTTCAATCTTCTTCTGAATTTCTTCTTGAGACAATTGTCCTATTTTTTCAAACTTGCTTTTTAAGTTCTTTGCCTGAATAGAACCACTTCTTTTTAGCTTTATTAATTCTTCATATTCTTTGCTTAGCTCAAAGGTTTCAGACTCTTCTTCCAGCTGTTCAAAAATTACAGAATGTGTAAGATGGCTAATGCTCTGGTTTTTACTACCTGTTCCCCACCTCCCCACCCCCCGAGAAGTGTAACTTAATACACATAGGTGCATTAAGGTCTCTTGGTTATTTGAAATCAGCACAGAGACCTTTTCCCTCTAATTTCTTGGGGTTTTACCTCACTATTCTCAATATTACTGTGTTTGTATCACGTCTAAACTAGACACAGATTTTGAAACATCTTGCTTGAATATACCTTTTGTTCAAGGATTGCTCCCAACAAACCATCCTTCACAGACTCAGAAAACCAGACATGTAGCAATACAAAAAACTTAGTTATCCTGGACCCATAATTTACCTCCCTGGTTTACTTACATTACTTAATATGATAGGAAAGAACTTTCTAAAAACTACTTTGATAAACAGAAAGTTACTACTTTTTTTTTTTAGTTCAATAAAGAGCAAATGAGATTTCAGGATGTGAGGGCTTGGAGAGCAATGGCAGTTCTGGATCCCCCACTCAAACCACATCTGAAACTCTAATTGTTGGTATTATACTCCCTCCTTTTCTACACCTTTACTGATAGTAAAGGTGTAGAAGCATTTTAGTTGGGTGTCCCTGTCTCTCCCTTTTTCCCCAGGATGTAATATAAAATTTACTTGAAAGTTTGCAAGCCAGGGCCTCTCTTACCTCTTACTCCAGCTTAATGAAAATAAATACATAAATAAATGTAGTCCTGTAACATTCAGAAGGGAATAACAAAGAACTGCCACCCACAACCAAATGAAGTTGAAGGATAAAGTTCATGAACACGATGTTTTAGCATTTGGTATGCAAAGCAAATTTTGTGTGTGATTTTTAAAATCAACCATGACCGTCTTCAAACCCTTGATACGCTGATTAGAAATAGGCTGAGGCCACTGTAATTCTTTCCTAATTAGTTAACACAGGATTCCCTTGAGGAAAAGAAAACATTTTGCTCTTTCCTACTTTCACTGTTGTATATTAATTTGGGAACTAGATGTTTCTGTTCTCCTGATATTGTAAAAATTACGTAATTGTTTTAGTAATACTGTGGAATTTTCAGAAGTGACTAAAATAAAATTACAAATTTGAAATTGTGTTTGTACTTGACACGGGTGGCAAGGAATAAAAGCATTTTTCTGGTAGACTAGTGATAAAAAAAATACCTATCATATTATATACAATGTTACAGATTTTAGTAATTAACTGAAATGATCTAGTATATTTTTATTCCTAGAATCATAGAATAGAATCATAGAATACCAGGTTGGAAGGGACCTCAAGGATCATCTGGTCTAACCTTATTCAGAGCATACTTAACACATCCTTTGACATACAAACCTCTCCCATTTCTTGTCTCAACTGCTGAAATTCTTGCTTTTCCATTTCCAACTTTTGCCTACGCTCTTCTTCTGTCCGTCTCTTTTCTTCTTCCATTTTTTGTCTCAGTAACTCCTCAAAATTAATTTCCAGTTTACCAGGTACGAGAGATTCTTGAGAAAATGTTTTAAACATTTCTGGTGATTCATCATCTAGCACCTGCTGGAAATTCAGAGCATTAGTGATAACATCCTGAAGGTACCTGTGATGAAATCAGTGTTGCTCAGACATAAAAATAACCAAGTATTTTTGCCACGTCTGCCCCAGAACAGTAAGATGCAACGTGACAATGTGGGTATTCCCCTAATCTTTTGGGAAGGAGTGTGTTTCTATTTGCTTTTAGATCTTTATTATTACATAAACTTTTGTAATTAAGATGTGTGCTAATTCGTGGCCTTTTTTGCAAGATGATGGAGAGGGAGTCCTCCAAGTGCAGCTCTGGAACCTGAAATAATTCATTCCTGTTAATCATTAGACAAATCACTTGTGTATAAATCACATTGCTCTTAACGCCAAAGTACATACACCTACAATCTTTTTTTAAGAAAACAATTACATTCCTGTTCTTAAGCAAAATTAGTATTCTTAGAAAGGCTGACTGAACAGAATTCTCTACAAGAAATTCTTCTTGTGCACAAACAGATCATTCTCAGTTTGGTTGCCAGTTCATTGCCTTGTACAACCCAACAGCAAGGGTTTCCTCCTTTCCCTGCTCCTTTCTCAGCCCTCAGAGTAGGGGCAGGCTTTGGTGGTCATTCTTGAGCAGTTTGCTTATGTTGTAGACTCATTTGTAAGAAGATGGCAGGGCCTAGGAAAAGCAATTTTCATAACTTCCAAAAAGTGTAAGAACAAGTATTTCATCAGACTGAATTTGTTAAAGCAAAGCATTACTAAAATATTAAGCCATGTGCTACCAGAACGGCCAGGTAGCATGACATGAGTTATGCAGGAAGATCTTAAAATAACTTCTTGATAAAGCCTATATAAAAGTATGTTTGTGCATGTAACTGTGTAAACAGTAACGGAGTGTCTCACGAGGGATGTTCTGTAGATAAATGTGCGAGGTGAGGTGGGTGCTGATCTGGAGCTGTGTGGAGATGTGGCTTTGGGCACCATTTCATCAGCATGTGTTTGAAAAGCCTCGTGGCAAACGCTGAGAGCCCAGTGCGCCTCCAGCTGTAGGCATTCCCAGCAGCAGTCATCAGTCACATGCTAAAGAGAATTAAAGGAGCAAAATTTTCACTTGAGAAGGTGGTTTTGGCTGGCTTTATAAAGAAACAGAAAAGAAACGTATTTTTTAAAGGATTCTTTGGCACACCCTTTTCTCTTTATTGCTACTTACTGCCACTGTAACTTAAACATTTCCCTGCTGTCTGTGCCATCGTAGTTCATATTGCTATCTTGACCTACTTTGCCCAAATCCTTTTTATTTGTCACAGCTCTTCCACTAGTTTTTTTGGCTCAATCCCACTCAAGTACTACTTCTATTCACTATAGATTTCCTTCAGCTTTTTTCTCTAAGGAAGCTGACATTTGGACTTCAGCCCCACCATTCCTTCCATTCTTCATTCGTTTTGCATAATATGAGCATATTTGTTGAAACTGCGGTACGGAGAAGTGGTGTCAAAAAACAAAGCTGTAAACTCTTTCCTTTAATGAAAACAACGCACAGCCACATAGTTTGCAGAGGGTAACCACAGCTAAATCAGTGCAGAAATGTGAGAGTCTCTTGCTGGTGATGCACCAGTTCATACACTCATCACTTCAAGAAGACACAGAGCTAAGGAAATAGGAGAAGCATTATTTCAAAACGTACCAATGCGTGTGTGTATAAACTTTCCAAAGCTGTGCATATGAGCAAACGCTAGCTGCTGTCTGCTCTGTATTTTTGAAGCAGTAAGTTAGGAAAAGATGAAAAGAGAGTAAGCCAACTTATTCCTGGTTAAAATGCACAGGGGAAAAAATCAGCGGAATTGTCTGATGCACAAAAACCCCAGTAAATATTTTAGCCATATTTTGCGAAGTGAGACCATACTGTTTTTTCTGCAAAGTGGGAACAGATGGTAGAGAGAAACAGTCCCGTAACAACCATAGTTACAGCACAGTCAACCAGTTTTCAGTAGGCAAACAGTGACTGATCTGAAGAAGAACTTTTTTGTTGTTCTGGCTAAGGCAGGTTCTTTATGTAGTCTCTAATGGAAAGAGACTGACAGGGATGAAAGACAAATGGTTCTCTCTGAAAGTGATCACCTTGATGGGGGAAGCGTGGCCGTGTAAGTGTAGCACAAACAAATGTGAAACAGGGTAATCGTTCCAAAAGGAGGTGGTATTTGTATTTTCCAGCAACAATATTAGTGCTTCTGCATGTGTATACTTTCAAAACTAAATTCAAATGAATTAAACATGAAAAAGGTTCTAAGATAACTACTTAATTTAAATGCTTAAATACAAATTGAATGTGAGGTTTTACTACTTCTGAAAGGGCTGACTAATGTGTTCTTAAAACGTTTGGAAGTACATCCACATTGATTGCTTCCACATTGTGAGCTGTGGAAAATAGGGAAAGCACAGGCTTGTATTTTCTGTTACAAGTAATAGAAAATGTGTTGTTCATATTCAGGATGCTAATTAACAGAAAATTTTCAAAAATGTATATGCTTAAGATAGATTTTCAGTGATTTCTTTTTTTTAAATTACTGCCTGTCTTCGCTATCTGCTGTTACAGTGCAATCATAGACTCTGTGCTGCATCTAATGGATTAAACCCTGTTTAATCAGTGAGATTTTTCTTGCCTGGACACTTGAGCTGGGGTTCTTGCTACACTGAGGCAGAGAAAAAAGATTCTCAGGAAAGTAGAAAAAAGCCCAGAAGACAGCACGCACTTTCTCTGCTTTCCTTTAGTTGTCTGCTGGTTCTTCATAAAAATTGTAATGGCAGAAGTCCAGCAGCAGTTTCCTCTTTTTTTTATAATGGCTTTAGCTTCAATTTTCTGTCTTTGGAGGTATGAACAGACACTATTTTCCATAATTGCTTACCAGTACAATATCAAACAGAAGTTTACATTGCAGTTTTTCTGGGTAGTCGTTCAGTACAGAGCTCTTGTCTTTGGCCCAGTTTTCAGGCAGAGGGAGCACTGCGAGCAATGTTAGTCATCCAAAGCCTCACTGTGTCTCAAAAGCATTGCTTTGAATGATGCAGAAAACTTTCTTAGGCATGCAGTTGGTCTTTCCCGATAAAACCACTGAGGGGGATGTAGGAAGACACTGCCAGAGGGGCAGGTCATCCCACAGTTCTGTGTGGCATGTCTTGCCCTTCCTTTTGAAACAAACAGTACTTGGTTGGTAGTTGTGTAATTTAATACTGTATTTCCTAACAGCCACCAATAAGTAACTGGTTTATACCCAAAATCCTGATGAAACTTGAAGTTGTTGGAATAAGCATAAGGAATACAGTGAAAAAATCCATCCTGGTTATTTTATATAAAAAATATTGTTGCCACCCTCTGAAATCAGGCATCTTTCTCTGCTTTCAAGTAGTGTCACTATGTCAATCCTAGTTCCCTGAAAATTGGTCTTCAGTATAATCTTAACTCAAATGTGAGAAGTTGTTGCATGTCACAGCGAGCTGTATTTGTCAGAGGAAGTTCCATATTATGAATTGTTCTAATGGTAAATGCCACAATTTACTTTTCTGTTTCTCTGAACGAGCAATGAAATACAATAAAACCATCAATTAACAGAGTTCAGCCTTCTAATTTTTCCTTCCTAAGAGGCTACAGATGACTATAAAGTTTGTACTTGCAGCGAGCAATGCTGTAGTATGCTGTTAATAATGCTTTAGCTAGTAAGAGCTGGTTGGTGGACACCCTGTAAAGGTGGGGAGAGAAACTTGGAGAAGCAAAAGCAACTGCTCTTTCCCCTAAAAAAACCCAACAAATCCCCCTTGTGAAAACATTTTTCTTTCTGTGTGTGTTGCACGTGCATAATGATACTCACTGGACACAACGGCTGGTTTTGCCCACATTATTTGAAATCCTTTCTAGGCTTGCTGTGAGGGAATGATGTTCTGGGTTTTTGGTAAATGAACTTGATTAGTTTACCCACTACCACCACCACCACCTAATAAGTAATGAGGTGAACTAATTAGTGAAGGAGTTGAAGCATGCGTTCCTAGCTGTATTTAAAGCCTTATCCCAGAGCTGCTCTCTAGTTCATCAGAGACTTAGGTAAAAATTAAACTATATACTAAACAAAAACACCATACCATGTTCTTCCTTGCTTCAGCAAATGCTCTTTTCTCCTCTTCCATGCGTCGTCTTGCATCTTCTTCTGCTTTCCTCTTTTCCTCTTCTCTCCTCTGTCTTTCTTTTTCCTCAAAACTGAGTCTGAGTTTACCAGGACGGAATTCTTTAACAGAATTTTCAGATTCTTCATCACCACCTTCATTGATCTTCAGAGAAGAGGGAGAGGAAAAAATAGAAAGGACTTATCCAAACATAAAAATATTATTTCTAGTAAATAAATACTCCATTAATTCCTTTCTGATATTTTATATTTTTTTTTCTCTTGGGGGAAAATTGTATCCAGAGTTTAGTTCCTATAAGAAACATTTTAGTCTTGGTTTTAGCCAAGGGAAGGAGAAAAGAAATTTATTTAGTATCTTATATGTAGCTTCTAGAATTTTTAAAGATCTGTTGAGTGTGTAATTCAAAGAACAATGTGTAATCAGGAAAAGGCTGAACAATTAAGCACATATTTTATGGTCTCAGAGTTGGATCCTTTATTGTAAATCACTCCCTATTCACTTCCTTTACATCCCCTTCATAGATCTTTATACCATCAAGTCTTTTTGTTTGCATATAAATTGTTTTCACCAATGCACTTACCAGTTAAAAAAAAATGCTGTAGAGTTTTATAGCAAAGCTAAACCAATTAACATTTTGCTATTACTCCAAACTGAGATTTTTCTTTCTGTTCTTTTTAGACATTTAACCATCACTGAAGAAAGGGAAGTGAGATACTCTGATCTCTTCACTGTTGCTTGTCTCCAGTTACCACTTATCTACTAAGAGAAGCCTGGGTTTTGCAAGCTGCAATCAAGAGCAAAAGAACAAGCCATCTTCAGAAGATATCTCAGAGTACTTTGTTTATGGAGGAAATTGACTGGGAACTGTCAAGAGTATCGATATTCCAGATTTCTGTATACTGCAAGCAGCCCTGGGACTGGTATGTGGGGTAGCTGGTTAAGGGAATTACAGAAATCTCTCATTTGGAATTCATAGAGAAAAAAAAAAGAAAGAATTGGAGGAAATTCAATTCTGAATTCTTCCTCTAAGACAACTTTTGATTTCAAATTTTGACAACCACTGATAGCAGATTAAACTGCATGTTAGAAAATGTCTTTCTTTTCTTAGAAAATTTGTAAAATCCTATGTTACTCGGTTAATAAATGCCTATACATAAGGGTGGAAAATGTGAACAAAACTTCAGTTAGAATGGCTAGTGACTTCATTAAGTTCTCTCTCCTTCATTTTATTCCTTAAACAACTAATTGTCTTCTTCAGGATTTACAGCTTAAGGTACTACAAAATGTAGATATAAAGCCTGCTAAGATTGCTGGCAAATTTAGAGCACACAAATGGCCCAGTTTTACTAAAAGAACATCTAAAGCATAAAGCCAGTGGAGTTACTGAGTTAGAACAAAGGTCAAAAATACATCTTTCAAAAATTAATGGTGATGCAATTTTCAGACTCGGCCTGAAATACAGTTAAGAAATAAGAAAAAAAGAAGAATCAAATACAGGAAAGAATGTAAAAGCGTATCCTATGTGAAAATTCTGTAACAACATGATGGAAATGTATTTACCATTTGCTGTCTAGCTTCTTCAAAGGCACGTTTTTCCTCTTCTAAACGCTGTCTTGCTTCTTCCTCTGCCTGTCGCCTTTGATTTTCCTGTCTTTGTCTTTCAAGTTCCTCAAATGTTACTTTCAGCTTACCTGGAGACAGAGACTCTTGTGTTTCGTTTTCTTTATTTCCACCCTGTGTAAGAAAAACGAAATAGTTATGTCTTAAATTATAGATATTTATTTCTTAGGTATTTTTAGATGATTGGTTTACCATGACAAATGAAAGGCACTTGGTTTCCTTAAGGAATTGATTTTGTTCCTCATATTTTAGCTTCATTTCTTCATCCTGTCTCTCTCTTTGGTCTGCTCTCTCCTTTCCTGTGTTCTCAAAGTTTATTTTCATCTTCCCAGGTGTTTTGGTGGGTTTTACGGGCACTACTGTAACTAGCAGTGAATCATCCCCTTCCTGTCCAAAAAGATATTTATTATATTTTCATAAAGCTTGACTTCTAGATAACAGTGTCATTAAGAAATTAGTCTGGTTTTACCTTTGTGCACCAAAGCTTCCTTAACAAGAGGAGTACACCTGTCTGCCTAAGGCAGTCACTAGTTTTCTTATAATATCTAAAGAGCATCAAGGCTGAATTATATTTTAAATACAACTGCTCACAAACTCCTTAATTTCTTTACATATTTTCATTATCTGCTAGTTGTAAATATTCATGGTTTGGAGAGGAACAGGTGAAATTTTTAATACATAGCAATTGTAGCCACACTCTAGTTCCAGTCTTGTATTAATGAAGTAAAGGATCTACTGTGGTTGGAACAGAGCAGGTAGTTCTAGAGAGCAATATGTAAATTGTCAGGCAGAGTAATTTTTTTGAAGGATGTTGCTGCTTCAAAACTATTTTCACAATTTACTTGCCAAAATGCATTTTACTCTGTTTTTTTCACAAAATACCATGATTAACGGGGATACTGTCAAATACCTTAAAACTAATGTTGTTTGTCTTTCCAAAGCTGTAACAGGAATGTGATTTTTCTTGTGTTAGTGAAAGACAATAGGACCTTTGGACCTAGTTTTTTGTAATTAAACATTTATTTGTAAGACTTAAAATCCAAACCCATATGGTAAATTAGTCAATTAGAAAAGTTAACTAAGGTGTTCAAGCAATCCAAACCCATATGGTAAATTAGTCAATTAAAAAAAAGTTAACTGAGGAAGGTGTTCAAACATCTGTATATTGACAGAATCCCCTTTTAATTTCAAGTTTAAGGCAAAGAGCTTTTAAGATGATAACTTTCTAAAGCAAGAGTGTCATTGCCAGATATATCAAATCATTCTGGTGGCTTTGAATATTTACATTTTATATGTTTTTAACCACAACTATTCACAGTGGAGACTTAAATAAATTCACTTCAAGTACAGACATACAGTTCCGTATACTTCAAAAATTTGTTAGCTTCTTGCTTAAATTTTAATTAGGTATTTGTGTGCCCTTTTCCCAGCCCAAATTACAATAATAAAACAAAGTGAATAAAAATGTAGGTGAACATTTCTTTAAAAAAATCTGATTACCTCTGCTGCTGATTCAGTTCCCGTATTGTTAAAGTCATCAATCTATTAAATGAGAATTTCATATGATTACATTACTTTGGCTCTTTGCCTTAGATTTGCAAACATAGAACTGGAAATTCTTATTGTAGCAGTGATACGTATGTAGCACTTAAATTCACAGAGATGGTAACGATGGAACCTTTGTTGGAATACTTCAGATAGGTTGGCTTGTGGAGAAAGAGGCAACATGACATAAGACATCATACAGAAAGTATGCTAACACATTCCAACACTGCAGTGATGAATTGAGTACTTCAGATGTCCGTTCTTCATGTAAGCATTCCAGAATTGTGTAAAAAGAAGAAAAGCTAAAGCAAACTCATTGATTATTTCTGAGTCAAGTGACATTGTCTTCCCCTCAACTCTTGCAAAAATGCCTGTTGCTGTATTTGCTTCATCTGGTGTCTTTGTATGTTACTGTCTGAAACTGACACACTCTCCAATATTCCATATGGTATGTACTTCTGCCTTTCAGAGTAGATTAAATATGTTAGGCACATTTCCAGTTAAAAGTCCAGTCATAACAATGTTAAAAGTCTTAGTAGAAAATACTATCCAAGTCCTTGTTGAAAACTGACTCCTCCTATAGCATTGTTGTTCTCTTCTTACAGAAAAACAAACCTAAATTAAATACTACTATCTTTTGGTAAAATAAAAATCTGCTTATGGTTCTAATCCGTCATTTAACTGTTCATTCTCACTGCAGTATTTGCAGCACTGAAGAAAACTTACAAAGGGAATTCAGTGTAATACCCCAATGCAAAATTCTACAAAAGACAAAATTTGCCTTATTGCATCAACAAAAGTTGGAGTCTATTCATGTGTCAAGATTCACAAAGTGGCAAAGTAAAAAAACGTGATCTGAATCTTCATAATTTATTATTTTTACTGAATTAGTATCCTCATTTTTGCCTGCTGATGGCATTTCCCTAGTTCTTCTTGCTTGCTTTAGTTCATCTATCACTGAACTGTATTCATGAATGTATAAGCAAAAATGGTCTAAAGTAAGGGTCAGTGAAATATACAAAACACTTTTAAATTAGTTCAGTGAATTCTATAAACTCTTGTATGCGTATGACACCAAAATTTGTGCCTGGTTCACATTCCTACCAGGTTTATGCTTGCCTGGCTTCATCTGTAGCTCAAGTTTAGTGCTTAAAAAATAGTTATCATAAAGAAGTGAAGATTCTCTGAACGTTATTTCCCACTTCCATCCCACCGAGCATCTTCCATGTACATCACCACTATCAGAAATCTTAAGATCAAATCTTCTGATCGATATAAAACTTTTTTCTTGTGTTGATTGTTTACAATTATACCCTGACTATTGTGATCAGATGAACATACCTCCTGTGCTTTTTTGGCTAATTCTCTTTGAATTTTTCTTTTCTCAATCATATCTTGTTCAATTCTGCGCTTTCTTTCTTCTTCCGTTCTTTTTCTTTCTTCTTCTTGCCTTTGCTTTTCCATTTCTGCAAACTTGCCTTTAACGGTGCCTGTGAATATGAAAAAACACACAGTTCAGTAGCTACATCTAATACTTATCTAGAGAATTATGTGGGCTTTAAAATCAGGCCTCTCTCTTACCTATTAGCTTTGGAACATAACCTTTTTCTATTTTAGATGATTTTGCATCATCGTCTTCATCAGATCCAAGCAGTTCTTTCATCTAGTTGATGAAACACAGAAAGTAAACTGTCTTTATACCTTACATAAAATTCCAGTATTATTGTCGTAAAATAATGTGAAAAGATTTTCACATATAGTATTGAATATTAAAATAACACAAAATATTTGCAAAGAAAATAACCTCCTGCTTTCTCCTGTTCCATTCTCTCTCTCTAACATATTGTTCTTTTCTTCTTTGCTTTTCATCTCTAGATCTCCTTTGATTTCTTTCTTCCCTTGCTTTCTGCATAGCTTCAAATTTATCCTTTACATCACCCTTGTGAAGCTTGGGCACATAGGATTTTTGGACGGGTTTAGATGAAGAAAGCAGAATCTTGGTGAAGATATAGAAGAAATGAAGATAAGAAAAAGAAAGGTGAAACAGATGGACAGAAATATTCCAATAGATTGGATTAGAAAGAATGTAAGAACATAAAACAGAAGTGCATTTGGGGTTAGAAACTTTGTGCCACTACCCATCATCAATTAAGCATCATGGTATTCGTTCATAAACAATAATACATACTAAAATATCCAAAACAACATTTAGCATTGTATTAAACTTAGGCTATAAGTAATTGTAATAAATAGGTATATAACTAATTACATGAACTATGTGAATGTACATTTTCAGTTACTAAGGCTTTAAAAATGAGATACAGATCTATAGTGTTGCTTTCAATCATAAGCAGTCACCTCTTCCCCTGGCATTTAAAACAAAGACACAGACATAGAATACAATATCTGAGTTTTCTTCTGCAACACTTCAACAGCCATATTTAATTTTTAAATCAAGAGTAGTATTTGTTCATTTAAAACTTCCAATACATTATACACTTACTTTTTTAATACTTAGAGAAATTCAGAATTCTAGTAATTTTATGTTTTAACTGTTAAGATGACTGGACTTGCAGGACTCTGATACTGATACACTCTGATACTGGATGCTTCTTTGCCAATGCTCACTCTCTGCGTGTCCCAACAGTACCAGAAGTTCCCACTCTTCAGAACTGCTGTGAAGTTTTCTCTCTTTTTACTGTAATGACTCCAGGAATGCTCTCAGTACAGCAGTGCTGAGAAAACGGGCTGAAAACATTCCGTGTTTCATATTTTCCACCTAAACCAATAGTATTTGTTCCCGCTTTTTTTACTGTTGCTCAGTGAGTCTATGAAGAAGAAATATTTGAAGTAGCCTAATATTTACATTTTAGAATTAGATGTGAATGTTGTCCTGAATTTCCCCCTAACATTTAACATTTCTTCATATTTTGTTACCATAATTTGCCTTCCTCCTCCACGTTTTGTTTTTTAATAACAGTAAGAATGTATTTCACAGATTCCATCCAATCAGATAGTTTCCTTAAGGTACTTTCAAGTGCCCTTCCATTGTCTTAAAATAACAGCAATACCAGCAAACTTACAGTATCATTGTTTGTCTTTTATAATTGTTTGTAATTACTCTTTTTGCAAGCATCAGTTGTAAATTACTACATTACTTTGATTACTGTAAAATCGGTACATACCTCAGTTTTCTGTGCAATGTCATTCATGGCTACTGTACTGTGCTCTGCACCTGGGTACCTTTAAGATTGCTTTCAATTTCTACCTGAAAGAAACAGTTGTAGTTATATTCCTTTCTTTTCCTTTTAAATGATGCTTCAACCATCTTCCTGTAAATAAGTTTGCATAACCTGAAATCGATGTATCACCATTTCATTTGGTCCTCTGAGGCTTTTGAAGCCGTGAATAGGTTCTAAGTATGCAACAGTGATTAAAAGAACAAGCTTATGATTCACTATTCATGCTCATAACCCCTCTATATAGTCCTAGATATTGGGTTTTAATTTCCATTTAAAAAAAAAAAAGAAAAAGGAAAAAAGGAAAACTTGGAGCCAAGCTCTGGCTGCCCTGGTTGGTGTGTTACGAAAGTGGTTTTCTCACTGCTCATGTGAGCAGAAAGGAATGTGCTCTGCACCTCCAAGCCAGCCAGCTCAGGTTGCACCAAGTCTGGAGAGTGCTCAGGCCAAAACCCCGCGGCCTCCTGGAGATGCTACTTCACCTTTATATGCTTTTATATGGCTGAGAGGAGGAAAGATGGCCTGGTGGCCAGGGGGACCTGCCTGCGTTTGAGAGATGCAGCTGGATCTCCTGCCTGGGTGAACGCTCCTGCTTGAGTCTCAGCCAGGCTGGCACCTCTCTCAGCTCTTCACCCAGTATGGAAAAAGAAATAATGCTTTCCTTTCTCCTAGAGCTATTCTAGGGAAAACTAGTGCTAAAAGCTATGAAATGAGTTAGGTAAACCACATACATACCTTGGAGAAAGAATTTATATCATTTAATTGTAGGCTGGAAATTGCACGGCATTTTTTTAAAAGAAAAGCATTACAAATTTTAAAGTGCACTGTATTTATTGGAAACCTAACAGAAAGGCACTTCAAGTTCAAGACAAGACTTTTCCCTTTTGTTTTTTTCCCCCTTTTTGTTTTTTTAAATCACCAGGGGAGATCTTATAGCAGCTTTCCAGCAGCTGAAGGGGGCCTACAGGAGAGATGGGGAAAGACTCTTTATGAGGGACTAGAACAACAGGACTAGAGGTGATGGTTTGAAACTGAAAGAGAGGAGGTTTACATTAGATGTTAGGAATAAGTTTTTCACTATGAGGGTGGAGAGACACTGGAACAGGTTGCCCAGAGAAGCTGCAGATGCCCCATCCCTGAAAGTGTTCAAGGCCAGGCTGGATGGGGCTTTGAGCAACCTGCTCTAGTGGGAGGTGTCCCTGCCCATGGCAGGGGGGTTGGACCTCAATGATCTCAGTGATGTCCCTTCCAACCCAACCTATGATTCTATGATTCTAGGTTTGTTGGAGCTTGGGGGAGGAAGGGAATCCTGACATGACTCCAGTGCCATTGCTGCCTGGACTGTACCAATGCCCTGAGTCCCAGGCAAGCCTTAAAAACTCCCTGTGCCAAGCGTGGTGCAAAGAAATGGGCTCAAAGGCACAAAGTAAAAAGGGTAGAAAAGGAGCTTACTGCTGGAGGGGGCTGCTCACTGGTGGCTTAGAGAAACTAAAGCCAGAGCATTTCGTGGTATGAAAAGTTAAGTTAAGTTCTTAGCAGTTCTTAGCCTTTAAGTTCTCTAATTCTTAATTATGAACAGATTATAAACATGGGAATTTTTACGTGGTGTTGAAAATAATGAACATTAAGAGATGTTGTCATATAAGCTCTTTAAAAATACACCAACATCACCAATACTCACTGGTGCTGCTATACAGATTGGATGAGATTCTTAGATATCCTGGGATGGTTTTCCAAATGAAAGCAGTCACAATGTATGAGACAAGCCTTTCGCTACCAATCCCTGCCCTGATGTACAAATTTCAAACTCTTCAGATTCAGCCGCAACAGAGGTGTTCTGGAGAACACTTGGGTGTTACTTTTCAACAAGTGAGCATGGAAAGTCGTTCCCCCCCGACAGTTGACAAATACCCCATTTTTAGACTGATAGGAATCCAACACCTTTCAGTTTGTCACTTGTGAGCACATGAACATAAAAGTATGAAGTGTTAGTTCCTATTTAGACTGTTTCAGCTCAGCAATAGCACGTAAAGTTCTGTGGTGTCTAGAAAGGCAGATAACTTCACTAGCATTCCTGTGGTCTCAAGGTCCCCATACACTTTAATATACATTTGTATATCATGCAGTTGGGTTTGCATGTCTTCAAAAGCTTTAGTTTACTTCATCCATGTAAGTAAAATCCCCATTGTGATCAGTATAACAAAACTAGTTAAAATCCTTTTACTTCCTCATTTTTTAAGCAGGTCTTAGAGAAGCTCCTCTCTGTTTTCCTCTCCTTTTTAAATTTCTTCTTCCTCACTTGTGGCCGATGGCCTTTAGCCATGTACTTAAAATACAGAAGCTGAATACAAGGTTTACTGCATGAAGCCATCAGAAAACAAAGGAACGTCACGCATTGGTACAGTTCATGCACTGAAGTAGCCTGGGACATAGAGACCTTCACACGGGGCTGGAGCAGTAAGTCCCAAAGATAAACTTTCACAAGGAATTCCATTTTGCCTAAACACTCAAGTGAAGGTTACTGCTAACCTCCACTACAGCAACATACCCTACCTATACGGCTTCATCTTCAAGTCATTTGAAAACTGGCTATTCCGAAGTCTGATTAGCTTATTATGTGCACTTAATTGTAGGAAGAAGATTATGAGTCTGGGAACACAATTTAGCTTTTGAGCTAAACCTTTGTCTTGAACCTTTCTGATAGCTCCAGTTATCTGAACCCCTTGACAGTGTCACTAAGACCACTGACAGCAATGAGATCTACCCTCAAATAACAAACCTGAAATTTTCTTTTTAAAAGTGCAATTGTTGGAAGAAATTTTCTTTGCAAATTCCTGCTGTCAGAACTTCCAAAAAATGTGCCAGTCCAACAGGTCGTGGGTCCTCAAGATGGCGGGTACATTTCTGCCATTTGGATTACTGCCATATCTGCTATTACTTTAGGCTATTTTCCAGTTCCTTGGCATCGCTAACTCTTAGTATGCTTGAAGGTTGGCCAGCTGGCTCTAAGGCATTTTGCATCTGCAAGTCATCCTACCTCCACCTTTGATGCTAAAAGATATGGCTATAAAGCAGCAGGGCATTACTAAACGTGATACCACCCATGTTTGCACTTTCTTCCCTCTCTGTGGCAGTTAAACCTTGAGCAGAGCCAGCAGCAGGACCCTCCCACAGGGACCCCTCAAGGCAGATGAGTCATTTCCAATAAAGACAATTTAGTACCTTCAAAAAAAAAAAAACCAGAAGCACTTCTTAAGTTTTGGCCTGGGTCTGTGAGGCTGCGACCACTGCTTCTTCGGGAACAGCAGCAGCAGATTGAAGCTCCTTTGTATCTGCCTTATCACTAGGAGAGGATCCACAGTCAGTGTATTGGTGCTGAGAAAACCAAACTGGCTAAAAGTCAAGAAGTCCTGACACCTACCAATTGTGGAAGAACAGCGACTTCATCATCTGCCGACAGCTTTGCACAAAGGAGGTGGTCATAAATTTTCCAACCCAAGAAACTTTGACAGATTTTATTTTCTAACAAAAGCTACTTTTAAATAAGATCTTCCTACCCTTTTGAGATGAACTAGTTAAATATATAAGCTGTATATACATCCTTGTTTTGTTATAAGAATTTTCCCACAGAGTTCATCTAATACAAGTAATGCTTATTCTCTGAGGCAACAAAGCTCTACTTGTACATGTACTTACTTCAGAAGAGATTTGTCCTCCTATTATGAAGCTGTCCAATCTTTTATTTCCTGAGATCAGCGTATCTCAGGAAAAGTTTTAAGAGCTCCTCATTGAAGCTTCCCACTCAGAAAAAGTCCCAGATTATAATGTTGAACATAACCATGATCAAAAAAAAGAATCCAGCTTGTTACTAGTTTTTTCTTTGCCTACCTGGTCCCATCGCTCCAGCATTCACCTGACACTAATTCATTTTTTTCCCCCTGCACATTTTACTCTTTCTATGATTAAACAAAAGATTTCAGGAAATGTCAGTCTGGTGTTATAACATTTATACTGCAAGTCCTAGACTGCAGTTCCACTTTCAACGGAGGTCTACATCCAGATTTTTCCTAGAAAAGAAATTTAACCTCCATCCTTTGATTAATGGTCCTACCTCTGGAACTGAATGGATGAGAAAATGCCATTACTAGAATGGCTTGACCAGCTGGCAGGCAGAGAGTGATCTCTAAGAAGTTACAAGTGAAAATTTAATACAAAACCAATAATGTGTAGGAAACTAGGCAATAGATTGGAAATACTCTGTAAAAGAAACCTCAAAAAAACCTCCTGTTTTCAAGCATCTTATTTGTTTGCTGTAAATGGGTAAGCTATCAGTCGTCTCCAATGTTGTCTTCATTTGTTATGATCACAGCACTTTTTCAACTTTTCAGGCAGACTCCCTAAAACCTTACTTTAGGCAAAATAATCAAAGTGAACAAAGAAAACCATTAAGGGCACACAGGAGGTTTGATGGCTCACAAGTCCCAAAATCCATCTCCTTAAATTTAATTAATTTCCATTTTTGAAAGGAGGTCAGAGTCCTCAATTGATCAAAAAACATTGTGCAGCTTTAACCAAATAAAAAAAAAAACCAACAACCTTCCACAAATAATAAAATTCCCCTTCATTAGAAAATTGATTTTCAGTGGAGCGATTAACATCCTCACACGAGACACAGAGAAATACTGGCATTTTCCTGAGCTGAACGCTACTCTTTACAACAGGAGTATGAAGCCAAGACTTTAAACAAAGTCTATTCCTCTGTGATTTCTCCTTTCGGGAGGCCCCTGCTGTCCTACGGCTACTGTGAGTTATAAATAAGCCCTTCACGGCACCGGCTAAGTTACGTTTACCATCTGTCTCCTCTTTGTGATCCACTTGCAGGGGAGACTCCATTATATAAGAAAACCATATTGTGAGAGTTGGAAACTCACCACTCGCAGCCAAAGCAGTTGGGAGAGGGAAACACAGTCCGCAGTGTTAAAATATTTAACGAAATATTAAATAGAAGTGGAAAGAGGAGGGGGAAGAGAGCCATGGTCATCATTTATGTCCTTACTGCAACTTGTCTGGAATGACACTACCAGTTGTTGTACTAAATTACAGATACTAAAGTAGATACTAAAATTATCTTGCATAGAGGAAGATCCCGAGCTGCCATAAGCTGTCAGCTCCACTAAAGCCAATGAGTTATGACAATTAACACCAGCTGTCTAAACTTCATATTTTGCAAAATATAAAACACAAAACTACTTCCACTTGCTTATACTTCCTTCATTCATTCTTCATAATTAAATGCTTACCGACAATTAACACAGATAGTCCTATTTCATATGCAATGCTTTCCTCAATCTTTGAATTTATTGCAATTCAATGTTAATTAAGTCCCACATGATGGTAGAATAGTCCTTGCAGATATGATCTTATTTATAAAAATGTATTTATTATAAAGGATTTTGTCTATGTCTGTTTATGTAACTATAAATACTCTTAATGTGAAGTGCCATGCAGTCCAACTGCTGTGTTGAAAAATAAAATCCCCCTTCTCTGTAGAAAAGGTCTGCCTGTTAATTCCTTACTGTCTTCAGGTCCTATTATGGGGTACATAGGCTCCCGAGCAAACATAGTGGGGGCTGAGAGGCTGGTCTGTTACGTGGGAAGCCCTGCTGAGATCTTCTGGCCCATGATTACATGTCCCAGGATAGCTGCTGATTCTAATCGAGGGTGAACTGAAATCCCAGAGAGAAAAATCAGCATATTTTGCCCCATGCCATAGTTCCTCCATCCCCTCTTGTGTCACAGCAGCTGAAAAGAAACAGTATGATTTGAGCTCAACTCTTGCACTGACAGGACTTCAGAGAAGAGGGTACTGAAATGTGGGATAAAATACTGGACACGTAGCACTACTGCGATTTGCTTCTTCCCTTCTCCGATGACGGGACACAGCCCATCTGCCTCCTCTCTGAAATCCTCATGGTCAACTCAGACAGAACACAGTGGTGGTCTCTGTGCCCGTGCCATGTCCCCACTGCAAAGGAGAGGTCTCTGGGCTTCTCAGAGACAGGCTGCTGCTTCCACTTGACCAACCCTACTCTGCTGGTAGCGCCGATGCCCATAAAAAACAGACTGCCTGTAACACCTTCTGAGCGGCCACGGCCACCTTCAGAGTCACTCCTATTGCTTCCTGAACTGCTCCTCCACCACCAACCTTCACCTCCGTTTGCCCACTGGGAGCTTCCAGAAGGCTCAGCCACGGCACCGTTCCTTGTTACGGGAATTTCAAAGCTGAATATCCAAGTATGGTTAATGACAGATTGTCCCAACTTCTTTCATGGAGAGGAACTATTCACTTAAAATATTCCAAATGCAGTATTGTAGAGAAAATATTTCCTAGGCACGTCTTAAACTGTCTGCCCAGTCCTTGTGTTTCACCGGGATGCGCTCTCTGCACGTACCAGCCACACCGCCTTACCTCCCTCTGCTCCTGAACACGCCTGGCCCTCTTAGAAGACTAATTATTGTTTCACAATTTAATTTCATTGGACATTTTCCTAAGAGATCTAATGTCTCTTAAGACCTAGGATCTAAGGCTAAGAGCGCTATATTTTCTAGTGTGCCGCTACTTGCCGATTTGATTTTCGAAATACTAATACCTTTCACTAAAGCCGCTTTTTTTTGCGGCTGTTTATTGTGGTAGCGGATGCTCTTATTTACCTAACCCAAACTCGGTAACAGATTGTCCGTAAGCCGTCGCAGAAGCCCCGTATTCCCCGGTGCCTCCCACCCGGGGATGCCGCAGAAGCACCGGGGGCGCCCCGGCTGCTGCCGCCCCCCGCCCGCTGAGCTCCCCTCCGCGCAGGGACGCGCCGCTCACGAACGCGGGGCGTTTTCAAGTAACTTTTATTAAAGGCTCCCCGCCCGGGGCCGGACCCACACGGGGGGGTCACCCCGCGGCTCCCCGCGGAGCGCCCAGCCCTGCCCCGCGGCCGCCGCGGCTCCCCGGACAGCGGCAGCGCCAAGGCGGGTGGGATTCGCCGCCGGGCGCAACCCCCACCGCGCTAATGGCATTGAAACTCCGTCGCACCGGTGGCGGGGGCAGCTCCGTGCCCTTGCCCGGCCGCCGAGCTCCGGCCCGTCAGGGACCCCCCGCCCGGCCCGTCAGGGACCCCCGCCCGCCGCCGCCGGGGCGGCCCTTCAGCGCTCGGCACGTCCCATTATCCCTTCCCCGGCCGCCCCCGCCGGCTGCCGCCACACCTG